CTTTAAATATTTATATTTATTTTGTTATTGAGGTTGATATAAAATATATTTGTTATAATGTATATATTATACATACATAAATGTTGTGTGTGTCTATAAACTAAAGTATTTCAAGTACCTTAAAATAATGTTGAAAATTTGATTGCAAATATATCAAAAGCATTGAAGTTTTGTGCTGTGCTTTGTTTTAAATGTGTATTGTAGGTTTTGAAGTAGCAGTGCTACTGATGTGGTAGTGTATTACTCATTTTTCATTCATGTTGTTTACCTCTCAGACCCATTAACCCATCAAGGACATTGAATCTGGAGAATAGGGTACATTTGATAATGGAATAAATAAAAAAATTGGATTTCTTGCCACTGCTGTAGCATCACATCAGTGAAAGGAGGGGAAGAAAATGGTATATTGCAGTCAAAGTGAAACCTTGGCTTTTTCAAAATACTATGGGTTTGTTGGGTTTTTTTAGCTCTGAGCACTCCAGGCCTCCGTAGTGGCTGCATAAGTTAAAATTCTTCAAAAGTTCATTTTAAAATATAATAAGTTATTTAAGTCACCCTCAAAATAATTTGCATTTCAGTTTGTTTTGGTCCTTCGTCACCTTTGTGCTGCACTGTTCCCTCTAATAGGCAGCCTGGTGAATTTGAACCAAATGAAAACAATCCTTAACTATATGGTGGCGTTAATTTTTACCATGATTAGGGTACTGCACGTGACCACTGCCTTAATTACGTAACTATTTCTCAGTGTTGGATCCTAAAAATCTTCATTCAGTTCTGAAATTTTGCCATGGGGAGTGAATCACCCCTTCTTTATCATGCATGAAAACTGCCCTGCTATACAGAGCTTACTTAATACCAGTGGCAACAAGCAGCGTTCCAGTGAGCTTTGAAACCATTCCAGGCCCCATATAAGTATAAAACTTCAGAAAGTGGTTGATGATGAAATGGCTGGTCTGATTTTTCTTCTTCCTTTATAAAACTTAATATCTGTTAAGTTATCTTCACTGCCAACTGGTTTTATAGAAAGAGTTCATTAAACAAAGCCTATTCTTGAAAGTATGAAGGTTAAACAGGAGTCCATTTTGTGTATATTCTCTTTGTCTCTGATACCCAGAATGTGGAAGAAGGAGGTGCGGCTCACCAGGCGGGTTTAAAAGCTGGAGACCTGATTACTCATATCAATGGAGAGCCAGTGCATGGTCTTGTTCATACGGAAGTCATTGAGTTGTTGTTAAAGGTAACTCTTGGATAAATGGAATATAAAAGCGCTTGCCATTTTCACCAAGGGTTGAGAGGTTATGTTTAATTCCTCCAGAGATTAGTTATCAGATTTTGTGGTTGTTGAAGTACAAACTCTAAGCCACTATTGCACAGATCTGGAGAAAGGTCAATGAATTCATATATCCTGCTGTGATTTTAGTTTCTCTGCAATAAACTGGCACTGCTGCTGGGGTAGCTGAAGTACGTTCAAGGCACTGACACAGAGAGGTGTGTCTGTCTCTCAAAAAACTTGACGTTTTCAAGCACTTTCTTGAATTCCCCCACGTTCATCAGGTAATTCAGGCTTTTGATGATGATGCTACTTCTTATTTTCTTCTTTTAAAGTTAAATCGATGAGGAAAAGTGGAAACAAAGGATATGAAATATTTTCTTGCCTACTGTACAGGAACTTGCCTTTCATAATCTTAAGGCCCAAAAAGTTTTTGTCTCACATATAGCCAGGCATGTCCCACAGAACTTGTTTGTTTAATGAAGTTCTGATCCTGCAGTTGGACTTTTATGAATAATCTACCAGTTTTTTCTCCTGTGGAGTTTTCAGAGGTCTATCCTAATAGAAAATTACAGTTTTTCCTTAAAAACAAACCAACCAACCAGCTTTTTTATGATGAATGGTAATGTCTTAGCTTTTCACTGTAGCTCATTGTATTGCAGTTTTTATGTAATCTTTTCAGCACAGACTAACATAGGTCAGAATTATTTTAGACAACTGTATATTTACTTCCTATATTATTAACAATTTCTGGTGTTACATGCTGAGCTTTGCCTGTCAAATGGAGAAGTCAGTCATAAAAGAAGATTGGAAGGCAATGAAGTAATGGGAAAATATAAAAAGCTGAGAAAAGATGCAAAATACACTTTTCCTTGTCTTTATTCTCCTCTGAAACCAGGAGAAACTTACAAGTTTTCCAGTTTTGCAAGAAATGTGTTAGAGAAAATTGTGTAATTTTAGGTAGTTGGGTCTGCAGTTGTTTTCTGTGTCAGATACAGAAAAAAGGAAACATAACCCTGCACACTACTTAACAAAAGTGACCTTAAAACAAGAGATTGTTGTTTATCCAAATGTCCTGTCTCATAAGTTAATTTGGGCTATTGGAATTCCTTTGAAAAGAAGTTCACTGGTGTGGTATACAGTGCTGGGCAGGAGGTATGGATTTTTAAAACATAATACAGATATTTCCAGTTGATTTTACTTATTGAGTCACCTGTTCATGCACACAGTCCTAAAAAGCTTAACTTAATTATATTTGTTACCTCTTTTGAGCAAGATAAAAGGACTGATTGGGATTGATAATGAAGACTGAAGTTTTCTCCTCCATTTCATCATTGTAACAGTATCCTGAGACATGAATGGCCAATGAATGGACCACTGTGCAGTGACAGCTGTTCTTTGTGGGAGAATATGATGTTTTTGTAGAAGCTTTCATCTTGAAAATTGCAGGCTTGGTCAATCCATGGTCTCCTCCTGTCTAGCTACAATCACTGGAATTTCTCCTTGTCCCAAAGCTGGAATGGAGGAAGTTTAGGAAGTTTGGCAGAAATCGAGAATTTTCCAGTCGTAATTTATCTGACATAAATTAGCCTGGCAACATCTGCCTAGGGCTCCCTGCACTGCCAGCTCTTACTCTGATGCTGGAGTTCTGTCTCGTTGCATTCACATTTGTGGTATAGCTTCAATTTAAGGCAAAGTCATCTTGATTACTCACACTTAAAGGTTCCTCCTCCATTTTGGCAGAGTGGTAACAAAGTCTCTGTAACGACAACCCCTTTTGAAAACACTTCCATCAAGACAGGACCTGCCAGGCGAAACAGCTGCAGGAGCCGAATGGTCAGACGCAGTAAGAAAACCAAGAAGAAAGAGAGTTTAGAGAGGTGAGTAATTCTTTTGTTTCATGGCAAATATGTTACCTTGTGTGTGTGTATACACAGCAGTTAATTTAGAATATAGAGTTAAGGCAGGTCTCTGTTTTTGTCTTCTACATATTTTTACCTTCTTCCATGAGATCCTATGGTTGTAACACGTCCTTCCAATCCTGTTCTGCCTAAACTAGATCTGTTAAAATAACCCCTAAAAATTTTGCATGGCACACATATAGGTATGGGGAAGAAAGTGAATAACTGAGGTTGCATCTTAATTTGGTTTAACTATATATTTTTGTACTTGTTTAATTAAACTTTCTAGTGCTAAGTTTATGGGCATTTTTAGTTTGGTAAGTTTATGTGTATTTTGTAAATACATTGCTAGCATTTTATAGATATTCCTTCAGTTTTGGTGGGCTTTTAAATTAAGAAAATGAAGATTGATACTCACAAGGAGCTAACTGTTCTTCTGAAATACAGTGAGTAAATTTTAGTACAAATACATTTAGTTACAATATCTATCCCACCTATTAGCAAATCAGGATGTTTTCTAAACTTCACGCTCTGCAGTGTGGTTTGCTTTCATGTAAACATAGTTTTAATATTTGTTTTTCTGAGGGTAATGGGAGAGGGAAGCAACGTCAGTTTGCAAGAGTTTTGCCTCTGGTAATAGTATCTTCTGTTCATCTTCTGATTAAATCTGTGCTCTTCTCACACTAGGAGAAGATCTCTCTTTAAAAAGCTGGCCAAGCAACCCTCTCCTCTTCTTCACACCAGCAGAAGTTTCTCCTGCCTGAACAGATCACTTTCATCAGGGGAGAGCCTGCCTGGGTCTCCAACCCACAGCTTATCTCCTAGATCACCTACCCCCAGCTACCGCTCTACTCCTGATTTTCCATCTGGTGAGTGTGAAGGAGTGGAGGAAAGAGGACTTGAAGTGTATTCTACTTCTTGTGAGCCCCCCAGATCTGTTACACTCTGCTAAGAGTAGTCAGCTCTGACAAGCAAAATCATTGAACAGCTTGTTTCTGTCTGGAAAAAGGTAAAAAGATTCCTGATGCAAAATCAAAGGTGTTTTCATGATACAGAAGCACTTAAAAGGGAACTGTGTGCTAGGTTTGTTCCAGAGTTTAAATCCAAGTCTAATGGCTGTAAGTTCAGTAATAAACAATCCAAGTTTGGAATAAGAGGTAGAATCTTGCCTTGGAGAGGCTGATTGATAAAAGAATGAAACTGAGGAAAAAGTTGCTACATAATGGATCTAGCATGGATGCTCATGAATGCAGATTTCTTGCTGAAAAGGTGGGCTGGGTGCTGAAATACACATCTTTCTGGCTTCTAAAAGCCTGCCCCTTTTTCCTGTTTTACTTCTGTCAGGATTTTAGGGTCTACTAAAAGTGACTGCTGTCACTTGGCAAAGGTAAATTATTTGGAAAGCCTTGATTATTGCTTTGAAGTAGCAGAAAGCATTAGCTGTTCTATTTAAGTAGAAGGAAGTGATAACTTAAAGGGGATAAATGAACAGAGGGGGAAAGGGAGAAATAGCAACATAACTGGAATGATGAGGCATTTACATCCCAGTCACTCAGAACCTTCCAAATTTTGGAACATTGTGGCAGCGGATGGCACATAGGCCTTTTGGACTGGTGAAAGTGTCTCACTGAATGTTTAGACAAGATTAAAAAAATCTTGCTAATCTTATGTTTGTTTGGTTTGTTTGTTTGTTCTTTTTGTAGGTACTAACTCTTCCCAGAGTAGCTCCCCTAGTTCAAGTGCTCCCAATTCTCCAGCTGGTTCAGGACACATAAGACCCAGCACTCTTCATGGCTTGGGTCCAAAGCTTGGTGGGCAAAGATACAGATCGGGAAGACGCAAATCAGCTGGCAGTATTCCCCTCTCCCCTCTTGCACGGACACCTTCTCCAACACCCCAGCCGACATCCCCTCAGCGATCTCCATCACCATTGCTAGGACATTCGATTGGAAATACAAAAATAGCTCAATCTTTTCCTAGCAAAATGCACTCCCCTCCAACTATTGTAAGGCATATTGTTAGGCCAAAGAGTGCAGAGCCACCAAGATCTCCACTGTTAAAGAGAGTCCAATCTGAAGAGAAGCTTGCACCCTCTTACGGCAATGATAAGAAACACTTATGTTCACGAAAACACAGTCTGGAAGTGACACAGGAAGAAGTGAATAGAGAATTGTCCCAAAGGGAAGTAACTCTTCAGAGCTTGGAGGAGAATGTATGTGATGTGCCATCACTCACACGAGTCAGGCCTGCAGAGCAGGGCTGCTTGAAGCGACCCATCTCCCGAAAATTAGGTAGGCAAGAATCCATCGATGAGCTAGACAGAGAGAAGCTGAAGGTCAAGATAGTTATGAAAAAGCAAGATTTTGCTGAAAAAGTAAATGCTGCTATACATGAACCTAGCAGTGAACCAGAAAATCCCAATACTTTAAGATTGGAAGAAAGAGACAAAAAAGCATTCCAGAAGGTGTTAGAAAGATCAAATCAGTTTGAAACAAAAATTGTTGCTTTGGAGACCCAGTCAGCTGGTGGCATACTCAAAGACACCCTTCAAAAGAATGCAAACTTGAGATCAAATGATGGTGTTGCTTTAGATGCACAGATGTTGTGTCATGGGCCTCCGCTTAATGAACTCAGTCACGTTTCTTACGACTTCAAAAGAATTTCCCCTCCATGTACACTGCAGGATGCACTACCTCAGTCCTCTGACAGGATGCTAAATGCAAAGGGAGAAAACGCAGATAAAAATGTACCCACAAAAGAATTTGTCAAATTTGAAAGATTAGATGGTAAACTTGCAAATATTGATTATCTTAGAAAGAAAATGTCCATGGAAGAAAAAGATGATAGTGTCTGTCCAGTGCTAAAACCCAAATTGACATCAACTGTTCATGAATGCCTTCAACTTAATACAGGCAGACCCCTAAACATACAGCAGGACTCCACTGCTGTTGCTGATGGTAGAGCATTTATCAGCAGTGCACATGCTGCTCAGATTAACTCAGTTTCTTTTGTTCCTCTCAAGACCTTGAATGGCCGAGCGGATGTGAGTGTTGAAAAATCAGCCCTTATTTCCACTGAGGCTCCTGTCAGAAAAAGTCCTTCAGAATATAAACTTGATGGGAGGTCTGTTTCGTGTTTGAAGCCAATAGAAGGCACACTAGACATTGCCTTACTTTCTGGGCCACAGGCTTCGAAGACTGAACTGCCTTTGTGCGTGCTGCTGGAAGGACAGAGCACCAGCAGTGATGGGGGATCTCCTAAGCCCCCAGCATCACAAGGGAGTCAGAAAGAGCAGTTTTTAAGCTATTCAAAATCTGGCAAAGTCAACATACCAGAGCCTCAGGTTCTGCAAACAAGCAGGAGTTCTCCAAACCCACCAGTCATCCCTGTGGCTGCAGAAGTAGTGACAGAGAAAAAGGTTTCTAGCCCAGCTACTAAAGGCAGTATTTCTGTTACTGAAGCTGTTCAAAAGAAAGACACCTCCCCTTCAAAACAAAAGGACAATTCAATGGAGGCAAAGTCTTGTGTTGTTCAAAGTCAGAGCGTTACTCAAAGTCAGAGTGTTAAAACTACTCAAACATACTCCAAACTTTCTGCTGTCCAAAGCACTCCTGAAAAAGCTGTAGGAAAAGAGAAGCAAATAGAAAAGGAGTTGCCTGCCAAACAGTCAGTAGCCCAGAGAAGTTGTGAGCCTATCCCTGCAAAGGTCGAGGTGATCAGGGAGTCATCTCTGAAGGTATCTGTCTCAGACGTCCTGATAACGAGCTACTCCAAAAGCAATGAAAAAAATTGTGCTGATTTTGCCATTCCACCTCAGATGCAAGGAAAAATGCAGGCAGCTGGTCCCAAGGCACAACCTAAGGATGGCAAAGAATCACTGAAACAGCTAGGCAAAGATGACAGCAGTGTTGCTAGTAGTTCTGTGGAAAGGGACATAACCAAGCAGAAAGTTCTCAGTGAGTCTAAGAAAGTTATCGCAGAGTCAAAGAGTGAAGCTCTTCCATCCAAACGGCCCATGCAACCCTCAATAGATTGTGATCCCAGAAATGAGAAGTCTGCACCAGTTTCCTCTGTGCAGAAGGACAATGCCAAAGATTTAGGAAAGAAAGATCAGAAACAGCTCACTGACATAAGGCTTCAAACTACTGACAGAGAGCAGTCCAGCCAAGTTCCTCGGCAGCAGCTTAACACTTCAGGCTCCCCTGCTGTGAGAGACACTGTAAGCAGAAACTGTGCTGTAGATGTTCATGCAGGTGTTCAAGAACATGTGAAGCCTGCTGCCACCTATGTGGAAAGCAGCAGTAATAAACACAGGCCAGTCTCTGATACAAGTTCCTCTAAGTCTAAGTACTTGGATAAACAGACATTGTCACAAAAACCATGCACTCCAACCATAAAAGAAAAAGAAACTATTATTCAGGTGTCTACCAGCTCCCGGAAAGATGGGAAACATGCCAGTAAAAATGTGCTAGATCCCCTTTCTTCTGTTTCAGGCTCTTTGAGAAAAATGAGCAATGAACACGTGCAGGCTGAAAGGCCTGTGAGTTTGGAGCATGGCTCAGTGGCCATCTTCCAAATGAGCAGTACCACTCCTGACACCAAACCCAAATCCTCTGCTGTCAACCCGGTACCAGCAGGCCCTGAGAGTTCTAAGCAGATGCAGAGGCAAGAACCAGCAGGCTTAGGGGAATCTGCTGATCAAAAGCAACTTCACCTCAATGAAAAACAAACCATGTCTCCAAAGTTTTCCACTGTGAAAGACTGTCTCTTGCTGAGCAAACAGGCAGACCGAAGTCCTAGTAACCAGACGATCCCTGCAGACAAAAGACCCGAAGGAAAAATATGCACTGATGCACTTTATGTTCAGCTTGACAGTGGGAAAGTAGAGCCTACTCTTTGCCTCTCAAACTGTGATGCCAGAGGGAAAGGAACAGAAAAAGCAACTGCAAGTAGCAAAAGCTCTCAAGATTCAAAAGGGAAAGGACAAGTTAATCAAAAACAGCCAGAGGATGCAAATAAGCAGATTGCAATAAAACATTTGTCAGCTGCCAGCAGTCGTGTGGCTGCAACACCAGGAAAGCCACTGACTTGTTCAGCCAGTTTCTCTGAATGTAGACAAGAGGTATCTGTTTTGTCTTCAGCGAAGAGTGATGGATCTTCAGCAAAAGTTAAAGCAGGCTCACCTGAGATTTCTGCAACCTGCAAGGAACTAAATAAGAAAAACACGTCTTCCGCAGGGAGCGGTAAGGCAGAAATGACTAAAAGTGTTTCACTGATGGCCTTGCACAGTGCTGCTGTTGTAGTAGAAGCCCACCACCCCGCTTCAAACCTTGGGGGGAAACCTGGAAATCAAGAAAAGTCTTTTTTTGTTAACACTGTGGATGTAAAGGGAAAAGATGCTGTTCAGGCTCAGCAGTCTGCTTCAAGAAAACAGAATGTAGGTAAAGATTTATCCAGGTCAGCAACCACACCTGACCGCCCTATCGCACTTTCTAACGACAAAGATTCAGCTCGGCAGCGGCGAGGAAAGGAAGCTTCGCGGAGCAGTCCTCACAAAAAATCCTGTTAACTGTAAGACCTGGCAGATGTGAATTCAAGACTAGCTGAAACAATGTCAATATATTGGACTGCCTTTAAACCAGCACTGTGTCGTGTCTTTGTGCAGCAAAAATTTCATGTCACTGAAGAGAGAGGATAAGGGGATATGTAAAGAGAGGACTTTTTTTTTCAAAATGCCTTCCCAATTGTAACCGGTAAAACTGTTACCATATAGTATTTGTACAAAAATACCTTTACAGCTGAAAGCTGTTGAAGATAAGATTTCCTCTGTAAATACCTAGTGATGTGTTTGGGGATTGAATGTAGCATATATACTTAGCTGCTGATTGCATTGTTTACTCTCCCTTTTTTAAGATAGTTGCTTTGCCACTTATTTGCCATACTCGAATATGAAACCGAATTATTAAAACTCAGACCTGGCATGGACATGCACAAGCATTGGTCTGACTGGAAGACAAAAACAGGCCACATTTTTACTTACTAAAAATCCTAGCTAGAAGTTAAAAAAATACTAGTACAGAATAAATATGGTGACTTATTGTGAGTTTTTACATGTATTTTTAATAATCCAATTTTGATAGTACTGTACTTGGCTGACTGCTTCACCAGATCTAACACAGGACCTAACTGCATCTCCCTACTGCACAAAGCCTATCTCTTAGAGTAGGTGTCGTTAAAGCTACGGGAGGACCACTTGGTTATCAGGGCGTCCCAGCAAGAGTCGTGTTCTCTGGTGAAATGTTGGTTCTCGTCTTGTCTCTTGGGAGTGTGTTCTATGACCTTCACCTCAGACAAAGCCGAGACTCTGAAGCACATGTTGTGTGCTTAGTTTTTGCTGCAATTCTTCCTTGAGTTCCTTGAGCTTTTTTAAAGTCAGACCCTTACAGTGTGAGGCACAAGCATAAGCACATGATTTGCAGTACTAGTATGTTCATCCCTGTTTTTTAATACATTTAGAGAATACGTATTACCATGGCATATAGGTCTGCATAATTGGCTTCATACAGCTGTAGCTTTTTTTCAATTTTATGACAACTAAGGTAAAAAGGAAAAAAAGCGGTTTCAGTATCATATCTTCAAAAAAGTTCAGGACATCCGATAGATTTTAATACATAGCTGGGGCCTTATGTTGTAGAGTTAACTTGCTGTTTTTAGCAAGTAATTCTGGGTTTCACATTCACTTCTAAATGCATTGAGTAGCTCCATACATTTCATAACATAATCTTTTTATTTGTATGCAAAAAAAAGTAAATACTGTACTTATAAAAGAAGCATTTTGTAACAAAGCAACCTGTTGGAGCTATTTGGTGCTAGAATGTGACTGTCTTCTTACTTTTGCTAAGCCTTATTTAAATTTTGTATACTGTGGAACATGTAGACCGATCATTTTAGCGTGGAGGTATTTAGTTTGTTTTGAAGGATGAAAGGTAAAATTTGAAACATGTACAGAAGCACTACAAAATACCCTCACAGATGCGTGTTTTTTAATGATTGGGATCAACAGAATGGTCGTTTGGCTTATTTCTGTTATATGTACCCACAGTACAGCTAGGCCCCTACCTGTTTCATCAGGGCTTACGGAATGTCTTTCTGTCTCAAAAGCTAGAAAATTGTTCATAAAAGCACAGCGTAATCTTGACTAGGAGGTTTGTATGACAACTGATAGTGTGCAGAATTCATTTCCCTCTGGTGAAAACTTCATTATACTGATTAGTTGAGTTGGACTACAGCACACCTGTCATGGAAAAATAGTATCACAAACAAGTCCTTCTGATTTTTCATGTGGCACTAGAATATTCATACTACCTTTGATGCGTTCACAGAGGAGCTAGTGAGCAATGGATAATATTTTTTGAGCAGTTCTAAAGATAAAATGGTCTCGACATTTACAGTTCATCTGTGCTTTGGCAGTTACTACAAATGAACGCTAATGCACTTCAACATAACATTTCTGTCTGGGAGGTATTTCCTAGTTTACAGTCTTCTGCATTTTTTTCAACTATCCTCTTGTTTCCTTTAAAGCACATCTAGCTCTTTGTTTACAGTATACCTTTATGTATATTTTGTATAGTTCATTATCATTTCTGACAGTTAAGTTCTTTGCAGTGTAGCAGTGCTTAAGCTTGTGTTTATGTAGTACCTGTTTGTTGGTGTTTACCTTATCAGTAAGCTGTTAGAGATCCTCCTACCTGTGTGCTACTTGGTCAGTCTTTATGTGATTGTAGATCTGATGTGTTCTTTTGTAGACTTCCTGCTGTAGATTCCTCAGCTTACAAAAAAAAAGAAAAGGAAAAAAAAAAGAAAAAAATTGTTAGGGTCTGTGCAATAAAGTGTTTGCAGTCTTATTTTCTCTAAGAAACTCCTTATTGATGTCATAATTGTTGTATATTGAACACGATTATTTATACTTATGCAGTTGCATAACATTGAAATAAAAATTCAGCATGAAATGCTGTTGTGTTAGTATTTTTCCTTGAATTGCTTTCACTCTTAACTTAAGGCACATCTCTGCTGTACTTGGAGGCAGCAGTTGTTTGGGTTTTTTTTTTTCCTTTGGAGCCAACTCAGTGCACCCCTTAAGGCACATGCTGGCCAAGGATTTTGCATGAGGAAACGCAGTTTGGTCTGGAGACGGAGGTGGTCTGCATAGCTGAGTATCTCGTCTCAGGCAGTGGCTGGAACCACTGCTCTGCTGTTGGGTAGGTAGGCACAGGGTGATGATGGACGACATATCCTGACTGGTAGCTGACAATGGCAGTAGGCTGTAATGTGACATTTAAATCTTTCCTCCAAAACATATATCATCATTCATTACAATAGGTCAGTATGGTTTTTAGTACCTTCTCAAAATACCCAATCTTTATTTTTTTTTTTAATTGACGCTACATTTACAGCGTGTAAGTGCGCAGTTTTGAAATCTTTACCCCTTGAATGTCTGAAAATCTCCCTTTATTCTTTTTTTCTCATAATAGAAGGTAAAATAAATGCAGTGAACCAGACAGGGGAGTTGGAGCAGAGCACCTGAGTATCCATGGCCTCTGATGAAGAAAAATCCTTTTGGCAGGAGGAGCAACAGGGCAGGATTATTGTTCCCCCGATTTTCATCTTCCCACTTCTTGCAGAGGAGCGTGTATTAAAATACCCGTCTTCACTGTCCCATTGCCTGTAGCTCTGCACAGCTGGTTGGCACATGCCAGGAACTGTTTGCCTGGCAGGGGGCGTTATTTTTGTTCACATTTTATTGCTGCATTTTTTTCTCTGTGTTTTTTCCTCTGTATGAAACCAAGTGCAGCATTGTTACAGCATCATTCTTCCTGCTTTGCTCTCTGTTTCAAACCAATAGGTGAGGGGAAGCTGCAGATGCCCCCCCAACTTGCTACAAACCAGCAGAAGGCAGACAGTCTGCAAAATTGGTGCACTGGCAGGAGGTGTGATGAGGAGGGGAGAGCAGGATCCAGCAGCTCAGGGAAAGGAAATTACTCGAGTTGAGGATTGGCTCTGTATCTAACTGCTTTGCCCACTGTGCCATCTCTGGCTGTGGACAGCAGCAGTCATCTCTGCCTAGGGAGGCATAGAAACCTGCATGCCCAGAGCGAGTCTCCACAGCGTTCAAGGACAGAGGAAAGGGGTGGTGTAAGGGGTTTGCATTGAGGAAGAAGTCGGGAGAGAAAGGTTATCGGTATTAGATCTGGCATGGCCTGTCATCCTCACTTCTACTGTTCTAAGAAGAGACTGCACCTCACCTGGGATGGGAATGCCTTCGTGGTGTGAAAGGGAAACGTGGGCTTCCTTCTTCAGCACTGAACTCCCAGTTTGCTATGCTCTCTTAGACCCCATATTTTACTCC